GGTTTAGGGTTTAGGGGTCTAGAGGTTTAGGGTTTAGGGCTTTAAGGGTTTAGGGTTTAGGGTTTAGGATCCCGACGCTTCAATATCTCAAAGTCTTCCACCCTGCAGCCGCGGTAACTCCAAGCCTCAGGCCGCGAATCTAGCGACAACGTCCTGCACCCGATCTTGATGTTCTGGCCTGTTACATTGTGGATGTAGGTAGTGCCTCGAAGATGGATCAAGACCACGAAGCAGAACACTTCCGAAATTCAGGTGTGCTTGTGGGTGATATGCTTCTTGTCTGCAATTTGGTTTTGTTTTTTGGTTAAGGGTTGGGCGTTGACGGCTTATGGATGACGCTTGCTCGGCTGACCCCTCGTTGCTTTAACCGTTGAATATGGAAATTGGAGTTTGTCCTGCAGGGCTTAATAGCCTAGAGCCCACCCCAGCCACAAAACCCAAGCCCCGAAATTCAATACCCCCAAACTTACGCCTGCATCTTCACCTCGAGTGAGGATTGCGCTTCAACCTTAAACCCTTAACCCTAAACCCTAATCCTTCATTAACTTTCTAGTTGAGGATTTTTTTGTTTTGGGAAGTCGAGTACGAACCTTTGAGATGAACTAACGATAATACAACTTGTAAGGGGTTTAGGGTTTAGGGTTTAAGGTTTAGGGTTTAGGGTTTAGGGTTTGGCTAAAGGGTGTAAATACAACGGCCCACAGAATTACCAATACTACTTTGAGGGCTCCTTATTACAAACTATAGTATAGTATACCCCAAACCCTATTCTAATTGTTCAGGCCGCTATATTAGCGCTGAGGGTCAGGGGCTTACAGCGCATTGGGATCCCCAAACTTGTAAAATTCGCAGGAGGGTTCTTAAAGGGTTTAGGGTTTAGGGTAGGCTCTAGAAGGGTAAGGTAGGGCTCACTTCTTGGGGTTGGGAGGTAGCCCCAACGGTTGAGACCCTAGGAAACCTTAGCAGCCCAAAAAGCCCTAAGCCCTAAGCCCTGAACTACAGCAGCAAAGCCTAAAACGTTCGACCTTCAAACTTTAGCCAGCCAAAGTGGCTAGAACCCTCCCTAAACCCTAAACCCTCAACCCGAGTCCGTCGTTCCTTCTGCTGGAGCCCTTAACTCAGATCCGCCACGAATCGAACTAGTCGGTTTAGGGTTTAGGGTTTAGAGGCCGGGAGAATTACCAACTAGTCTCCTTTAGGGCTCCTGTATATTATGTAGAGACGGCGAGCCGCAGAAAGTTGGAACATGGATTTCGGATGGTTCGTTCTGGAATCCCTGATACTTTGCCTTAATGCCATGAGGATTATAGCTTTCCATCTTCATGGCCTCTGCTAGAGTATCAAGGTGTTCTTCCTGAGGACTTTAACTTTTTGGGTTTCTACATGAACTGTAACAAGGAGACTAAAAGTTTAACTTTTTGGAGGGGTTCAGAAGTCAGCCAAGAACCCTAAACCCTAAACCCTAAGCCCTAAACCCTAAGCCCTTAACCCTAAACCCCTAAACCCTAAACCCTAAACCCTAAACCGGTATCATATACCCCCCAGACCTCTAGGGATGAGGACCTCAGAGCCCTCCCCGAAGCCTGAGCCCCAGCAAGCAACTTCCCAACGCATGATATACCCCAAAATCCAAAACCCTGTTCTAATTTTTTAGGGCCCCTAATATAGAACCTTATTCTAGATCCCTTATAGAACCCTTGAAGGCCCCTAATATAGAACCCCTTTATAGATCCCTTCTAGAACCCTTTCAGGCCCCTAATATAGAACCCCTTTATAGATCCCTTCTAGAACCCTTGAAGGATCCCTTTTAAAGCCACATCCATAAATCTTGGTGTTCTTCTGGTTGGCTCTTAGGACTTTAACTTCTTGGGTTTCTATATGAACTGTAATAAGGAGACTAAAAGTTTAACTTCTTCTTGGAGGGGTTCAGAAGTCTGCCAAGAAACTGCAGAGCTGTGAGGTCCGTCTCCAGCATCAACGAGCGCGAGCATGAGGACAGCCCCAACCTAGGGTTTAGGGTTTAGGGTTTAGGGTTTAGGGAAGAGAACCCAATACCCCTTAATTAAGGAATATACCTTAAAGGGCTCCTTAAAGGGATCTATAAGGGTTTAGGGTTTAAGGGAATTAAGGAATATATACTTTAAATCATAATATTAAGGCCCCTATTCCTGATTTAAGGGGTATTGGGTTCTCTGACACCCTAAAGTCCAAACTCTATAGACCCTCTAGAATACTAAGCCCTAAACCCTGAATACCAAATACTAAACCCTCAGCCCCTATGCATGCTTTGAGTGCACTCAGAGAGCACCGGGGCAAGGACGGGAAATCCTTCCTTGTTGGATCGAGCGCTTCGACTGCGGCAAATGGCCTTGACGGCGGCGACACAGTCCATCATGGAGGATCGCATTGCCCGAGCAAGCCACACCAGGCCTCAACGAGTACCCTGGAAGACCTCAGACCTGACATCTCTGAAGTCGAGTTCCACCGTGAGGATCAAGACAGTTTCGGCCGGAGAGGCCCTGCAAATCTGCTCAAGCTGCAGGAGAATGGATCAGCCGTTGTGGAGTACCAGGGCCGACCTTACCTGATTCCTCTACGAAACCTTCGACTGTTCAGAGGCGCCTACTACAGCAACTACCACTTCGACCAGGATGCACCGGACAGCTTGCGACAACAGGAACTTGATTCATGGCTTGCCTTGAGACGGTTGATGCAGAGTTTCAACCAACCCCTTTAAATAACTCAGCCCGGAGCACTACAACCGAAACCCTAAACCCCTGTGTGGGCGATGTCTGCAGTTTAGGAGTTAGGGTTTGGGGTTGAGGGTTTCTTCGCATCTAGGAGTTTGGGTTTAGGGTTTAGGGCTTTTGGGTTTAGGGGTTAGTGGTTTAGGGGTTTAGAATTAAGGGGTTTAGGGTTTAGGGGTTTAGGGTTGAGGGTTTATGGTTTAATTAGGGGTTTAGGGTTAGGGGCTTTGGGTTTAGGGTTTAGGGGTTGAGGGCTAAGGGTTTACGGTTCAGTAGGGTTCAGGGTTTAGCAAACCCAAAGCCTTGAACCCTACACTAAGCGCAGGGTTCAGGATTTGAAGCTTAAACCCTAAACCCTAAACCCTTAAGATTTTGGGGTAACAGGGCTTCGGAGTGTCTTCTGACAGTCTAGCACCGGATGTCTCCCGAAACCCTAAACCCCAAGCCCTAAACCCCAACCCCTAAACCGCAATCCCCTAATGTAGGGGTCTTCATAAGTACCTATGCTATTTTGGGGGGTTCCTTATTAAAATCATAGCATAATATACCCAAAAACCTTTTCTAATTATAAGGCCCCTACATTAAACCCTAAAGCCCGAGCCCTAAACCCTAAACCCCAATCCCCTAATGTAGGGGCCTTAATAATTACCTATGCTATTTTGGTGGTTCCTTATTCTAACTATAGCATAAAATACCCGAAACCCTTTTCTAATTATTAAGGCCCCTACATTAAACCCTAAGTCCCAAGCCCCTAAACCCGAAACTCTTAAACCCTAAACCCTAAACCCAAAGCCCTAAACCCTAATAAACCCCTAAACTCTCAACTCCTAAACCTTAAACCCCTAAACCCTAAACCCGTACATTTGACCCCAAGCCCTAAGCACCTGCGTAATCCTGATCCCCCAGACCTGCCCCTGAAAACTTCGGGTCTTCCACGCCAGGAAGAGCTTCACCTCGAGATGGTGCGGGGCTTCAGGGCTTTCGGGTTCTTTAAGGGTTCCATTCAGACTTCCTATATAGGGTTTAGAGTGTTTAGGACTTTAGGCCTTGGTTTAGGGTTTGTGGGCTTTAGGGTCTCCGGCTTAGGTCTTTAGGGTTTGGAGTTTAGGGAGCTGTTCTGCGTGTCCTTGTTTTTGGTTTTGTTCAGTTTGTCACGGATTTGCTTAGGTTGTAGGCTCGAGGTGTTGGTGGGTTAGGGTTTCCAGTGCAGGGTTCCAGGTGAGGGTGCAAGGTGGGGAAAACGGCGATGAGAGTTGTTCCTAAACCCTAAACCCTAAACCCTAAACCCGAAGCCCTAAACCCTAAACCCTAAGGGTAAGCAGGTTTCGGGGCTGCTGCCTAAAGAAGTTCCCGATGCCTTGTCAACCCTCATGCCTCGGATCTCGGAGCCGAGGAAGAGAAAGGCACACCACTGACAAACAATATAGGGTTAGGGTTTAGGGTTTAGGGTTTAGGGTTTAGGGTTTAGGGCGAACCCCTTAGTCCCAAACACTCCAGCCCTACCTAAAACCCTAAACCCGACACCCAACTCTAAACCCTAAACCCTACGGCCTTATAGACTCTAGGTGGCAGAAGCACAAGACCCCAAGCCCTTGTAGAACCCTTCAAGAACACCTTTTCTGGAAGCCTAAACCCTGAACCTCAAAAACTCTACCAGATGATAAACCTAAACCCTAAACCCGAAACCCGAAACCCTAAATCCGAAACCCTAAACCCTAAACCCTACACCCCTTAACCCTAAATCCGAAACCCTAAACTCCTTAACCCCCTACACTCCTGAACCCTAAACCTCTAAACCCTAAGCCCTAAGCCCCTTAAGCCCCCGTAAACCTCCCTCCTGAAAAGAGGCTGTGGAGCTCCGCAACTTCCTGAAAGCGACGGGCAACGCCCGTGAGAGCGGACCCTAAGGGTCCAAGTGCATACCCCAAGAAACCAGGGTTTTAGGGGTTTAGGGGTTTAGGGGTCTAGGGTTTAGGGAGTTTTGGGGCTAGGGGTTTAGGGTTTAGGGTTTTAGGGGTTTAGGGGTTTAGGGGTTTAGAGGTCTAGGGGTGTAGGGTTTAGGGTTTAGGGGCTTAGGGTTTAGGGAGTTTAGGCGTTTAGGGTCCGAGTAGAGCTTTGGGGTGCCTAAGCCCCTCTACTTGGATACTGGCATCCTCGAAACGGTGATTATAGGTGAGCAAGACGGTGTTATAGGGCCACAGGGTTCTCCCCAACTGCTTGACCCTCGCAAACCTTCTGATAAAGTTTAACTCTGAACCCTAAAGTTTAACCCTAAACCCTAAGCCCTAAACCTTTTAAAGACGGTTTCGGGTTTCGGGAGAGATCCTAAAAACATCCAAAGCAAGTTTCCTAAAGATGCCCGGGTTTAGGGTTTAGGGTTTACATCCCAGACAGCCACTACAAAGCCCCACCGAAGCCTCGAGAAACCAGGACTCGCTACCTAACCCTGTACCGATGTGATTCCTCATAAAATGTGGTCTAGGGTTTTAGGGTTCAGGGTTTAGGGTCCGGGTTTGGGGTTTAGGGTTATAGAAGCCTACATATGTTGTTCCTCGGTTCCTTATTATAGAAGAACGGTGTAGGACCCCCTGAAGTCCTACCACTTGCAAAATCCTAAACCCTAAAACCCAAGCCCTAACCCTTGAGCCCTAAACCCTAAGCCCTTAACCCTAAACCCTAAGCCCTCAACCCTAAACCCCAACCGCAGCCCCACAAAAAAAAGAGGCTAACCCTAGAACCCTGAGCCTGCCCACGTGCTCTTTCATCTGGCGCTGCTTGCTTGGAGGGCCCTGAAAGGTACACCCTAAACTGGGAGCTAGGATTAGGGGGGGGCTCTTGGGGACATAGACCGTCTCAATAAGGTCCCTTTTAACATAGCCAATAATAGGGTTCAGAAGGGCTACCCCTTTCCTGGAACATGAGCCCATGTCGGGAATTCCTCTTGGTTGCACGAGTATGTCTTTCATGAGGGTGCCTTTCCAATCCGAATCCGCACAGGGTTGCGGGTTGTGGGTACAGTGTAGCTTCGCATTCTTTTTGTTGGCAGCATGGTTTTAGGGTGTGCGGCCTAGAGTTTAGCGTCTCTATAAGAGCTTACGAGAGCTCGATGGTTTAGGGCAGAGTCTTCTGGTTTGACCCACAACATTGAAGGTTGATTGCTAATTTCGCATGCGGAAACCCTAAACCCTAAACCCCAATCTAAATTCTAAACCCTATGTGTCTCCCATTGCAGCGGGCAAGACATGGCATGATGAGTATGTCCGGGGTTCTGTAAGTGACGGCAATGAGGGTGCCAAAACCCTGAGCCCTAAACACTGAGCCATGAGGGTTTAGGGTTTAGGGTTTAGGGTTTGAGGGTTTGAGGGTTTTACCGTAAGGGTTTCGTTAAGATAGGGACCTCAATAATCAATTTGAAGAGGGTTTGGGAGTATATTGTACTATAGTTAGTTATAATAAGGAACCCCCAAAGCCCTATTCTAATTATCAAGGCCCCTACATTAGGAGCTTTCAGTGGCTTTCCCTAAACCCTAAACCCTAAACCCTAAACCCTAAACCCTGAACCCTGAACCCTAAACCCTAGCAGGTGTAGCGGGGGAGGGCCCTCCGGCACGTGCTCTGATCGACGGGTTCGAACGACTGAGGGGCTTCTTCTAGGACATTTTCAGGTGGGTAGTTGCCGTTATAGGAGCCTTATAGAAGGCCTATATACCCTAAACTCCCGACCTGAAAATGTCCTAGATTTCTGTCAAGTTTTAAGCAGCCCTACTGCCGAGCCCAGGGGGCCCAAAGACACTGCCGCTATGGAATTAGGCGCCAGAGGACCATCCTAATCATGGTTCGGGTGACCTAATTCCAACAATAATAACGATAATAGTAATAGTACTATAGTTGTAGTAACGATAATAATGATAATAAAGACCATAGGCCCTAAACCCTAAACCGGTATGTGGACCCTCTTGGGAGCACCAACCGCCAAAGGATCAAAAGCTTGTTCTGCTTTGTGCCGCTTTGTGTGCGGGGTTTAGGCGTGTAGGGTTTATTTTAGGGTGATGGTAGTCAGGACGTCAGAATGGTCATGCTTAGGGCTTAAGGTTCAGAGGTTTAATTAGGGTTTACGGCTTCGGGGTTTTGGGGTTTAGGGAGTTTGCTGTTGGACTGCACAGGTCAACGATTGCTGGTCTAATGGTTGCGGGCTTAGGTTGCAAGGCTTCATTGTTCGGAGCACCGGACAAGGGGTGCTAAGCTAAGGGGTGCTAGCGGTTGGAGGTATGCCATTGGGCCTATGCACAGTTCTCTCCATGCCAAACGACTGCTGGCTCCTTGTATCAAGGCTTGTGGCAGGCCCGAAGAACAGAAGGGGCCATCTCAACATGAGTAAACAACAAGTGTCACCACTAACCAAAGCCCTAAACACCCCTTTGCACAAATTTTGCTTCGCCCTAAACCCCGAACCCGTGTCGTTACAGACCTTGCCAGGCTTGTCCAAGTGCGTGTGTGTGTGTGTGTGCCAAAAAACCCTAAACCCTCAACCCTAAACCCTACACCCTAAAACCTAAACCCCATGGCCATGGAAAGAACCGCTCACTGGATCACTGCAATGCATCTGTCTTGGAAAGCTTGGGTCTATGAAGCTGGCGAGACGTTCTGGGAAGTTCGTCGCGTTATAGATACGTGGCGTTTTTCTGGTTGGTTCTGGCTAAAAGTTTCACTTCTGGAGGGGTTGGGTTCAGAAGTCAGTCAAGGATTCATGCTTGAGTCACAAAAAAAACTTGAGCCATTGCAAAATCATCAACGAGGTGACGATCCCCTGCAGAATTTAGCAGCCTTTCGCAGGCATGCTCTAAGGTGTTTGTTTTGCGCGGGGGGGCTAGAGCCCTTACGGGCAGAAGTGGTGTCGTGTGGCTGCCGCAGCTCCGGATGCAGTGGTCTTGCTGGTTGCACCGCATCGGCTTTACCTTGCAATGCGAGCTCCTCGCCTGATAGACGGCGTCGGGTTGATGGGAACCCAGCATGCCCGAACTCCTGCAGCAGTCCAACGGCTTTCACTGCGAGGGTCGCTCCTGCACACTGACCTATTCCCTCGCATGATTGAGTCAATGACGTGGCAAAGCGCGACACCATTGTTCGTAAGACCTGGAGCAAGAGACATGCTTCCCTCTCTATCTCAGGCATGCTGCAGGATGCCAGTCTGTTTGATTTGTTCAAGAATGACATTGACAGCCCCGCCAAGTCCAGCGCAAGCCCTCTGCCAAGCAGTGCATCACCGGCAAGCAGAAATTGCACGCCATCAGACGTCGAGAAAGACTTCGATGAGATGCCGCCTATTCACAGCCCCGCCTTGTCAAGTGCAAGCCCTCTGCCAGGGGGCAAGCAGCAATTGCAAGCCAACAGACGTCGCGAAGGGGTTCGATGAGATGCCGCGCAGCAGCCGGGGGGCGGTGCTGCCGCACCCCGTGGTGCCGGGGCTGTCGTCTCTCGTCCGACTCAGCTTTCTGTTCTGATCTCCCCAATTCGATCTTCATACTTGCCTCGGCGCCGTGAGTGAGTGAGTGAGTGAGTGAGTGAGGCACCAGCTGGTCGACTAGCACCCTTAGCTTAGCACCCCTTGTCCATGGCTCCAAATTGTTTAACCCTACTACGGGTCCAAAGGACCCAATAATTGGGTAATTCGGTGAGGGATTTGGGATAGTAGCTATGTAGGTTACTTGTAATATTTGGGAGAGTGTATGGTTATTAGGCCTTACTGTTGATGATAGAAATCTTGCATTTCCTTAAAGACCGTAAACTATGGGAACTATGGTATATTCCATGTTATGGGTAATGCAGGATTGATATCATCAACCGTAGGGTAAGGATTCAAGAATTTAGGTTTGGGGTTTGGAGTCCGGCTTGGGGGGTCTGGGGTTGGGCGTCTCAATTCACACAACTGGTAAAGGCTACCTGATTAAGAAACGTCGGATCTTTGTTAGGGTTCTTTGTGCGAATCCCAATGTTGGGGTTATATGGCCAGGGTTTGTGAATCAGGTACATTGCTATTTTCTTCTCTACTCCAAATGCTTTCCAGCTTTGTTGCAGGCTGGCAACGCAGAAGCCAAGCGATGTGGCGGCTGTGGATGCTACACCGCGTAGTGTTGAATTTTCGGCGGGTGTGCCAGCACCCTGGGCAGATTATGATCCAGGAGCCTAACCGGAACCCTAAAACTTAAGCCCTAAACCCCAAACCCTTAACCCTAAACCCTAAACCCTATAAACCAAAACCCTATTAGCCTAAAACTCCGAAGGCTATTATGTAAGAACCTGATTAAGAAACCCTGGCCCTCTAACCCCAATATCTTAGGGTTCATATTCAGAGCCCTAATAAAGGCCCAGGGTTTCTTAACCCTAAACCCTAAACCCTAAACCCTGGGAGGCATCAGACGTAAAGAATTTCGACCAGCCGGATCCAAGGAGTTGCCGAAGATCCCAACTTATGTCGTTATCACCACCTTCTCTTAAATCATCTGCAGGGTCCCTCGCTGTGCAGAACTACGCCTTAGATCAACCTAGCAGGCAAACCCTAAACCCTAAACCTTGAACACTTTACAATCTAGGCAGGGTTCCGGATTTCACGGGCAGAAGTCTGGGGCTTAAGCTGTTTGGGAAGCAAGAAGCGGCCTGAGGAACCAGCACTTGCATCACCCAGAGGTCAGAGAATTCATCAGCAAACTTGGGTGTTTAGGGTTTAGGGCTTAGGGTTTAGGCCTCATAAAGTCTTGGTTGTTGATGGTTGTTGATATGGATTTATAGCCCCATTTCAAACATGCCGGACTGTCCCTAGAATTAGAAGGGAGTGCTTGATACCTTTAGGCAGCCATGAGGGCTCGCCCGGTTTTCAATGCGGCAGCTTAAAGCAAGGGAAAACTCGATACTTGAAGTCCTAAACCCGAAACCGTCAACCCTATCCTTCTAGAGCACTCCAAAACACCTTCAGATCCTCTGAGGCATGCTTGAGCTACGGGCAGCTTTTCGACTATTCAGTCGTCGTGGCACAGGGCTTGCAGGCGGGGCCTTGCAGGGATCTCTAGCTGGGTTCTGGAGTAGCATACTTGAATTTTGCTTTATTGGACCTCTTCCTTGAAGGATCCATGATGAAAAACAAGTCTATACTTTTTTCTCCCTGGTTACTTCGAAGTCCAGGTAGGGTTCTTTTGAAGGGGCCCTGGAAAAAGGTGCGCCCCCGGAATGAACATTCGGAGGCGAGGTGTGGGGTTTATGGTTTCAGGTTTGGGGTTTAGGGTTCAAAGCTTGGGGTTAAGGGTTTCATGTTCAAGCTTCAAGTTTTAGGGCTTGGGGTTTAGGCCTTTGGAGTTCAGAGGTTGCGGGATCTGAAAACGAAATTTAAAATCCCCTCAACCCTGAACCCTCAACCCCTCAACCCCTAAACCCTGAACCCATCAACCCTTAAACCCTGAACCGAAACCCGAACCCCCTGAACCCGAAACCCTGAACCTTCGACCCTAAACTTGGGAGCCTGGGGCCCCTAAGCCCTGACCCTTGCGAACCTTGGTGTTCTTCTGGGTGGCTCTTAGGACTTTAACTTTTTGGGTTTCTATATGAATTGTAATAAGCAGACTAAAAGTTTAACTTTTTGGGTTTCTATATGAATTGTAATAAGCAGACTAAAAGTTTAACTTTTTGGCTTTCTATATGAACTGTAATAAGCAGACGAAAAGTTTATTTTTTTGGAGGGGTTCAGAAGTCAGCCAAGGTACCAGAAGCCCTGACCCTAAGGGTCCAAAGGACCCAATAGTCAGGTACCTAGCTTTCGGATAGTACTGTTGATGGGATGAATCATTACCTTACGGAACCTAAACTGTGGGAATTGTGGTATCTCGCTTCTTATGGGTAATGCAGCATTTATATCATCAACCGTAGTTGTGAGTTATGAGTTATGTAGGTTACTATTTGGGACAGTATATGACCCCAGACCCTAAACCCTAAACCCTAAACCCTAAACCCTAAACCCTAAACCATATGATTATGGGGTACTTGGACCCTT